TTTCGTGCACTGGTGAAACGTTTCAGAAATGACAAAATCAACTTCTTTTGAAGCCCAACAGATTTACACAGTCGGACTACTTTTGCCAAAGTTCCAGCCCCTGAGGGAAAAGTCGGTGAAAATCCCGCTCTCTCTGGATGAAATTCGACGGCCATGAATTTGGCTCTGCACCAGACGAAAAAAATACACATCGCACTAGACATTGCCAAATTTTTAAGCTGAGTGTGCAAATGGGCACGCATTTACAATACTTTTGTAGTAGAAGAATTTTGACATGAGAAGTGGTAAATATCAGATATCGCTAGTGCCCGCATTGATTTCATTATGTCCTGCGCACGCCCGTGATTCTTGTTCTCCAGTCAATGGAGGAAATAATTAGGATAACAAATTCAGGAATGTAGCGCTTATACGTTTTGGTAAAAACACATTATTTGCTGGAGATGGTAAGAGTTACAGTATAAATAAAGGGTATACGTAAAGGTGCGGCCTGCATCCAGACCTTCTGCGCCCCTCAAACTGGATTGTGTGTGATCCAAAGTGCCATGAAGGCTTGTTCTATGTGTGAGGTGGCGAATCTGCAAGCGCGCAGAGTAAGTGTGCCTCAGCCAAACTTAACCAAAACTAAATGATTAAAAAAATCATTAGCTATTTAGTGGAGCTGTGGTAAATCCAGATTTATAATGCGGTAGTCACAAATGAATACGATCTGCGTTCCCTCATTTCTCGTTTTTATAGGTGTGAAGGGTCGAGCACCCCGCATTGCAGGATCATACCACCAACCTTGTGGGGGTAAGAGAGCGCAGAGAAGCCTACGGCGAAAGGACTGAATTCTTTCTTGCCTTGTGGAAGTCAGCGCCGAGAGTATCAAGCCTTAACGCTTACTACGAAAGGTGGACTTAATAGCCTGAACTTGTTGATCGCCAGCATCTAGGTCATGCCTTTTGTGAGGTTGTGCAAAGTCTTGATGGGCTTATGCGTATCGCGAGAGTACGTACGATGGCCGACTGCTCAAAATGTGGACAGTACGCTAGACGTCGAAGATGCCGAAAACAGGTACCATAATATGCGTTTTGCGAGTGTGTGTCGAGTGTCTTCTATATCTTCGAGTAAACGCAACGGATATCAACAGCGTGGAACGTCGTTTTGCTTGTTATGCCAATTCAGCAAATGCGTGACGCGTTTATCTTGCATATGCGGCAAAAGTTTTGTCCTTTTATGAATGGTGAGGCCGAGTTAGTCCTAATGATTGTAACCCTCCTCTTGCCAATCTAGTGAAAACCCTCGTTGATTAGAATGCGTTATCCCAGCAAGATATGTTCATGAAATTACAAGACTATAAAGTAACCGAGTTATTTCGGTAAAAACTAGAGGAGCCGAGCTAAACATTTGTCATGAATAAATTGGTAGTTTGTAAAATTGAGTGTGAGGAGTGGAACAGCTATTCGTGACTTCCTCCAGACGCTGAAATTCTCTGCTAAAGAAATAGGTTAAAGTCATTACTTCGTAGCTTCGCGCATATTACCCCCGGATCTAAGCACTAGCAAATGTAGAAACGCTTATCTAAACCGCATCGCTCACCTTTTCAAACGGTATCTTGTCCGTGATAGCACAATGAGTTGGTAAGGTATTCATATCAAGCACTTGCATACAGTGCTAGGGCGTTTGCGCCTTGATACGTCATCCACCAGTATCAGCAAATTAGCATTTGCGCTGACGAAGTTTATGAGATACGTCACTGGAAAGCATAGTCTGGGAATAAATATCAATGTCATTGTGACTGCTATATCAAAGGGATAGCTTGGCCAAATACTTACTCTAGTACAGTTGGAATCGCGGCGACATGACAAGAACCTCATTAAGGAAAGGCCAATGATGTTGGGGCGCGA